TCCTGTCTTTAAATGAACACAGAGTTTTCAGATTTACAATTAGAAAAACCAATAGTAGCAACAAAATCTGCGAAACGTTGATACCAGGCTCGTGGAGCCTGTTTGAGGCCGTAGAGGGATTTCTTAAATAAATAAACATGATCAGGACGACTCTTATCATGAAACCCTATGGGTTGATGCATATAGACTGTTTTATTGAGATACCCATGTAAAAAAAGCATTCTTGACATCTAACTGATGAATGGGCCAAGACTTCAAAATAGCAAGGCTAAGGACATGCAGTATGAATAGTTGCCAGTTTGATAACTAGACTAAAAGTTTCATCACAAATCAATACCTTGCCTCTGAGTTTTCCCGTCACCTACAAGCCTGACTTTATGCCTTTCAAACGACCCATCAGAGAGACGTTTATGGTGAAAAATCCACATGGACCTAATAACATTAACATCCGGTGGCCTAGGTACCAATTCCCATGTATTATTAGCAATAAGAGCATTATATTCATCCAACATTGCATTTTCCCAATTCGGGTCATGAATAGAACTAATAGGGTCCTTTGGTATAGGAGATATGTTAGGGGTAGTCATAGTGTTTAAGTTATGAAAATATTTGGAATTTGGCTTGCAGATGCCATGTTTTGCTCTTGTAGTCATACTATGGGTGTTGAGTATGGGCTGGGGTTGGATGCTTTGTGGTTCAGAATTTTGTGGGGCTAGGTGGGTGTAGGTGCTTGGTTGGGCAGTGCGCAACTCAGGGGTATGAGTGTGTGGGGTAAGCTGCGAGGTGGTAGAGGGGAGAGTGTGACAGTCAGGGGGGAGCGAGGCCTGCTGGGGGAGGATGGCGTGGATGCCGACCCAGTGGCGCTTGATTTCCATTGCGCCAGGCAGTAGCATAGGGGGGGGGGGTCTCGCAACAACCCAACGCTCGATGGCCGAGCTGCGGGTGATACTCCTGCTGCTCTGCTGCACAAGTGATGGGTGGAGTAGATGTGACGTGTTGGGATTGCAAATGGAGGAGAGTTGGACTATAAAAAAAAATATTATAATCCTCTTTTTTGAGGTGTGTGAAGTTTGGAGAAAGGGAACTTAGTTTCAACAAATTTTACATGACGACAAATTAGAATTTGACCATTTGACATATCGTAACACTTAGAGCCACGATGATTAGAAGCGGGACCTAGATAGACACATGAGTGGACCTTTGTTGCAATTTATGTATAGAAGTGGATGGAAAAAGAGGAACAAAGAAAACCAAAGACACGTAAAATCAAGTAGATGGGATTACGGTGATAGAGAATTTGAGTGGGTGACTTAAATTCTATAACTTTGGTGGGAAGAATGTTTTAACAAGTACGTAGCCACTTCTAAAGCATGGTGCTAAAATGAAAGGGGTAAAGAGGCATGAGCAAGTAAAGTCGAATGATGTTATTTATTGATTTTATGTGACATTATGCTTTTCCATTTTGGGGAGAGGTGTGAGGACAAGAAAGCCGAAACAACATACCATGGTGATCAAAAAATTCCTTTAAAGTTCCATTGATATACTCAGTGCCATTGTCACATTGAAAAGTCTTAATGTTACGTTCAAATTGAGTACGGACAACCGAGTGAAAAGATTTGAACAAGTGTTTAAAACTTGAGAATTTTTTGCCAATAGGAAATATCCATAAAAATTTGCTATAATCATCAAGAAATAAAACATAATAACGATGGCCGGAAGAACTTAATATAGGAGATGTCCAAAGATCACTATGAATAATGTCAAACGGAAAAAAGTATGTGACATAGAATCATTAAAAGGTAATTTAGATTATTTCCCTAAAGGACAAGAAGAACAAAAAGAAGTACAAGCCTTATTACAATCAATAAACTTTTTACTACTTAGAGACCTAAGAACGGCATCACCAGGATGACGCAAGCGATTGTGCCCAAAAATCGGAAGAGCTAGTAGTAAGAGTAGAGTGATTGACTTTAGGATTGGCTTGTGAGTTGGAGAAAAGAGGGTATAGATCACCCGAACTGTCACATCTCACAAGTTTGGTTCCCGTTTGTAAATCATTCACAGCAAAACCAAACGGGTCAAATTCAACGGAAACATTATGTTCAGTGGTGAATTTACGGACGGAAATAAGGTTTTTGATCAATTAAGGAGCATGCAAAACATTACTTAAGGTGAAAGGTGGGTAGGGGTAAGACAAAGTATTACTACCATGACCAACTATCGGAATTAAATGACCACTACCAACAACAATGTTATTATGAGGAATGCTCGAATTGACATAGGAAGAGAGAATACCTTGATTTGAAGTCATATGAGATGTGGCACCGGTGTCCAAGTAGTAACTACTGTCCGGTGGGGGAATGCGAGAGCACTCATAGCCGCTTCAACATCCGTCAGAGTATAGCTAGAAGGTCCTATAGCATTGTATGCCTGAGGTCTAAAGCCTAGGATGCCAGGCCCAGCAGGCCGAGGCCCATTGTTCGGAGCAGAAGCAGCCCTTGGTTCGCAAGAGGATGCCGGATATGGGCACGGAGGAGGATTGGGCCATTGTGCAAGCCATGGAGCCCAAGCAGCCCACGGTTGCTGCTGCCAATTAAATGGAACTAAACCGGATTGCTGTTGGGCCGAAGCCCCATTTAAAGATTAGTGCGGCCCTACTTGAATTCTTAACGGAGTTCTTTTTCTACATGTTGCTCTTTGAACTTTGGCAAGATGATGATGAAGAGTCACTGCCGTCAGTAGAAGCGACGAGAGCGGTGGAGTTAGAGGAGGTGTGGCTGCCGGAAATATTCTCCTTGGCCAAACGATTTTTGATGGTGTCGTTCAGCTAGCTTCAATCGAGAGCAACAACTCTCAAATGACGGAAGAGGTTCCTGATTTGAACAATTCTGCAACTGTTCAAAGCTTAATGTTACCGCTTCAGAAGTTGAATCTTCATATTCGCAGATTTGCTCTTCAATCACCGAGATTTGCACTTCATCAACTGAGATTTGTTCTTCATCGAGATGAACTCTACTCTTCATATGAAATCTGCATTGATTGTAATTCATTCAATACCAGTTTACCTATTTTTTGGTAAATTTGTACAAATTCATATACAAAATTACGTACCTGAATTGAGGTTTTGATGCATTGCATTGTCATCAATTTCGCATTTAGGTCAATATTTATTGCCAACATTGCCTGCAATTTAGGGTTTGTTGCATAGCAATCGTTGTTTAAATCAACATCAATTACAGAATCAATTTCAATTTCTTCTGAAGTTTGCGAATCGTTTGAAAATTGGAGCTTTGAGTTTGTTTTTGAGATTGTAATAATTTGTGAATTAGGGAATCCATCGATGTTTTGCAGAGAATTTGCAGAGAACTTGTTGAGAATATTTCGAAGAAGACGATGTTTTTTGCATGCGGCACATTGAGCGCTATTTATACTCTAATTGGCACGTGCGAATCTGGCCTTACATTAAGGTTAGTGTAAACCGGCTGTACGCAAGAATTTTTATTAAGTTTTATTAATTTTGTCCTGCAAATTCTCAGTCATATGTTTCTATAATGGACCTTTTTTTTTTGAGGACTTCTATAATGGACCTTTGAATCAATTATAGTATGAATAAAAAATTAACTGTCTTCATTATTACGAGCAAGGTTGTTAGGATTGGGATCCTACCTTGGATCGATGGGGGGTGGGATCGAATCGATAGAATCGGATCGTAGGATCGTAAGATCCTACTTAATAACGAATAATATTATATATTATGCTATAAAATTGACTTAAAAACATTTCTTCTAAGGGATTTCAATGCTAAAAGATATTGGTTTGCTTAAGAAAGGTCGATCTTCATTTAGCTTTGTCTGTATGGTAGTTAGAATATTAATAACACAAGTTTAAATTGATAAATTATGTGCAAATTTGTCAAGAATGAGACCTTAACTATGACAATTGCAAGTTGTCAATTGATAAAATAATATTAATGTCTCAGATTCGCTAATTTATTAGCGATAATTATTGAATACATTAAACTTAGGTGCATATAACCTAATGAGTAATAAAAAAATATGTCGAAATAAATCAAAGTCTCGTATTATAGTAAAATGTTGGATCGGATCGTAGGATCGTAGTAAAATCGTAGGATTGTGTTGAAATCCTACCAAATCATAATTAATATCGGAGTAGGATTGTAAGATTCTGCAAACTTAAGATCCTGCCAAAGATCCGCATCGATCACGGGCAATTTTGGATCTTAAAATCGTAAGATCGTAAGATCCGAATCGGGATTTTAACAACTATGATTATGAGAATAATATCCTTCTAATTTTAATAATAATTTTTAACTGAGAAAATAACTCAACGTGGACTACATTTAACACATGCCTCGTGGCTCAAGGTCAGAGCACACGTGTCTCTCTTCTTATCATATCTTCAATTCATTATTATGAGTGAATAATAATAACTTAATGAGCCTTGTATATGCCGATTATTGCTAAAAGTATTACAAATATTAATAGACTTTGGATATGATTATATTAGAAATGTCCTTAGTTGATAACATGCATATCGTTGAAGAAAGATATTATGTACATTTATTTTATACAAACAAGTATGAATCAATATCAGAACTTGCAGATTCCAAGAAATCTGAAATTAGCCCTTTGAATGCGTTGATATTTATCAAATTGTCGCTGTTATAGTTTAACTTATCTTTTATGTTTGATTGCTTAATTTAAAATTCATACACTACATCATGCATCTTTGTCCGATCTTGATAAAGTCTAGGCCTCTCTATAAATACTGAAATTTATAAAGCTAATACAGTACAATAACAAGCACTATTCCCTCTAATCCTCAAACTTAGCAGGCAATACTCATTAAGGGTACTACTCTCTTCGATCTTTATATTATTTTCCTCTCCCTCCCTTCGAAATCATAATACTCCCTCTATTTTATTTTATTTTATTTTATTATTATTATAGGATAATTTGCAATTGTGAGGGTGTCCATTGAAAGAGGAATTAGCTAATACTTTAAAGATAAAAAATATACGGAGTATATTCACTTGAAAACATAGTCATGCATGAGATGTTATATTCGTTTGTGGTCTTAGTTTTATTTCAAATTCAATTCAAAGTACGAGTTTTTTGCATATTTTTGTTACACGTGATTAAATATAGGATCTTGCTAACGAACGTGGCCGGACGTTGAATAAAACTTTAAGATATTTCCTAAATAAATTACACCCTTATTAAATAGAGGATCTTCTTTATTGCTTTTCTCGTTAATTTGGGGTATTTTGTGGTGGGTCAACGACGGAAAATTACACCCTTATTCGTTCTTTTTTAATAGTAACGTTTTGTTTGTTCACAATACTATATATATATACTCTCTTCATAACGTTTCATAATATTAGTAATTTAATATCAATGTTAGATAATAAGCAAAAAAATTAAATTGAATATCGTAGAACTATATATCTCCTACGCTTCTATCCATCTTAAATTAACGAACATGCATATTAACGTAACATATATATGTTGTCATTGCATTTAAAGTACAAAGTAAGCACAAGAAATTATGACGGATTTGATCACAGCCGAAGAAGTGCCCTTGGTGAATCCGGAGGCTGATTACGAGAGTTTGAAAGCGGAGTTGGATGCCAAGGTGAACGGCGAGGATAATGTAGGGTTAAGTGCTGATCAAGTGTTATTGAACACACAATTCTTAAACCTTTGCAAGGACAAAATACAAAGAATTGATAGGCATTTTTGGTCTGGCTCTGTGGTCACTGATCGCCCGACTCTTAGTAGCGGCTATTACACCGTTCTTACCCAGAAAGGCACCAAGCCTGAAGGCGTCAAATGGGGCCAAGTCTGGGCTAATGGTGCCGCTGATGACACCACTGCTCGTAAGTGGATTGTGGCTTTTGATACTGCTGCTGGCAAGGTATATATATATACACTCCTCGCGCAATTTCATTTTGTGGTTGTTTTGGGTAGTTAGGTTTCAGTCCCTTCCTAAGAAGTAACTTTTTAATATATATAAAATCTTAGTGATGTTTATTAGAGTATAGTGTTCTATATTAACCATTTTTTTGCAAATTAAAATTTCAGGCTTATGCTGAAGCAGGACCAATGGGTCCAGTTGATTGGAACGTAGTTGAAGTGAAACTGGGTATGTCCGGAAGCAAAACCGAGCACACTGACCCCATCCTTGGAGGTAACGTACTTGCTACGATTGATGGTCTCAAGGCATATGCACATTTCCGCTGAATGTTAGAGCTTGCTGAGATATAATGAAATCTATCTACTATGGAATAATATGTGTTGCACTACGAATTTAATTTGATGTATTGCGTTAGCTGCCAATCATGAACTAGCTTCCTTGTTACTTTCCTTTTTACTTCAAGTACTCTTGTGTAACAAATAATTATGATGCTTCTATGCATCTAAATTCCAAATGATTAATGCGTAATTGTAAGTGTAAGAGTAGGTGGAATTGTATTTCATAAGAAAAATTACATGCTATACATATTACAAGCCTAAGGCACTAATCACGTAAGCTATACAATAAGAGAATCAATTACAAAGTCAAAGATAATATATACTTTACAAATATAAAAGATAGTATACTCTCAATCAAGGAAATGGAGTGATATTAGCTAGCCCGTGATTTGCATATCAAGATTAATATCACGATGTGATATTATTCTCTACATACCCCCGCAGAGTTTGACATATAATTGATGTTCTCTCAAGGTTGAAAATACCGTCCTGAAATGATCCTTATGCTCATCCCGGTTCTTCGAATATACCAAAATATCATCAATAAATACCACAACAAACTTGTCCAAGTATGGCCTAAAAATTTGGTGCATTAAATGCATAAAAACCGCAAGTGCATTAGTTAACCCAAATGGCATTACAGTGAATTCATAGCGACCATAACGTGTCCTAAAAGCACTCTTTGGAATGTCCGACTCTGCTATCCTCAACTGATGATACCTAGACCTCAAATCGATCTTCGAAAATATTCTTGCCCCTTTCAACTGGTCGAACATATCATCAATCCTAGGCAGCGGGTACTAGTTCTTGACTGTCACATTGTTCAACTCTCGGTAATCTATGCACAACCTCAAGCTTCCATCTTTCTTCTTCACGAACAAAACTGGTGCACCCTATGGTGATGAACTAGGCCGAATATAACCTTTCTCCAATAAGTCATCTAATTGAGTCTTCAACTCTTTCATCTCAGCCTGGGCCATCCTATATGGAGCCTTTGAAATAGGTCCTATCCCTGGCACTAAGTCGATGGACGGCGGATCGAAAAGTCCGATCTTGATGAGTAATGTGTCCAACCTTGGTCTGGAGAGTGGTTTTGTAAGGAAGTCCGTTAGTTGATCACCGGTTGAAACATGAGTGACACGAAGAGCACCCTTTTGGACTTGTTCACGGATGAAGTAGAATGCTAGTGCAAAATGTTTCATTTTAGAATGAAACACCGGGTTTGCACTTAAGTAAGTAGCACTTAAGTTGTCACAATAGATGACTGGAGTGTTTGATATTTTAATTTTCATTTCAGTGACTAGATTTTGTACCCACATTAATTCTGCGGTGGTGTGAGCAATGGCCCTATACTCTGCTTCGGTGGATGATCGAGCTAGGGACTTTTGTTTCTTAAAGCACCAAGTAATTGGGGTGCGGCCAAGAAAGACTACATGACCCATTGTTGAAAAAAATCATCCTTATCACCCGCCCAATCCGCATCAGAGAAGGCATGTAGTATAGGAGGTGAATCTTTGTATATGTTTATGCCTTTGTCAAGTGTGCTATTGAGGTAGCGTAGGAGGCGTTTGAGTGCTGACCAGTGTTCCGTTGTTGGTCGATGCATAAATTGAGATAGTTTATTTACGGCAAAGGTGACATCCGGCCTAGTTAGAGTGAGGTATTGAAGACTACCAACAGCAGCTCTATAATCCTTGGGCTCTTCAAGAACAACACCTGAGTTGGCCATTAATGTATGAGTAATGACCATGAGGGTGGGTGCTGGCTTGGCTTCTAGCATTCCCATCTTCTCAAGAAGATCAATGATGTACCTTTGTTGACTTAAAAATAAGCCAGTTGATGTTGGAATGACTTCAACACCAAGGAATTAAGATAGTTGTCCCAAATCCTTCAAAGAGAACCTGTTTGCCAAAGTCTTAATAAACATATCAAGATTAGTTGCATTTGGACCGGTAATAATAATGTCATCCACATAAACAATTAGATATATGGGATTAGTCGAGTGATGCAAAATAAATAATGATGTATCTGAGATACATCTTTTGAAACCCGAACCAAGTAGGAAATTTGCAAGCTCGGTGTACCAAGCCCGTGGAGCTTGTTTTAAGCCATAAATGGCTTTCTTCAATTTGCAAACACGAGAAGGAAATTTTGGATCAATGAACCCGGGTGGTTGTGACATATACACTTCTTCTTGTAGTCTACCTTGTAAGAATGCATTGTTGATGTCGAGTTGACGAAGTGACCATTGTTGAGATACTGCAAGACTAAGAAGAGTGCGAATGGTAGCCAGTTTTTCAACTGGGCTAAAGGTCTCCGTATAGTCAATACCAAGGCGTTTTACAAATTCTCCACGGAAGTAGGTAGAACAGATTATTAGGAAGTTAGGGTGCCGGACTTAATGTCTTTAATTTGTATAATTCCACGGAAGTGGTTTGATTGTTAATTAGGGAAGCCATTGACAACTCGGGAGAGATCTTTGGTATTTATAGGGCGTACCTTTCCTAGTGAACGTGTAATTAATTGGTTGGGGTAAGAATTTGTCTTGTATTGATTATGCTAGTGGTGATACTTAGTTCTAGATGTTTTTATTATTTTTGATCTATGTTTGATATTTTAGTCATATTTGGTGATACTTAGCCTAGCGAGTTTTTTGATCATTTTGGTTCGGGCCAAAAAAAAAAAAAAAAAAAAGGTGTCAAAAATGCTTGTTCATGGCTTGCCTAAAAAAATAATAATTTTAGGCCGAATTTTAATTTTCATAGCCGCCCAAAATTAGACCGGGCCCATTTTGGTCACCTCTCTAATGCATATTTTCTATTCTCTCTAATGCACAAATACGAACTTGATTTGTTCCGACACAATAAAAGATATTTATGGTTAAATTTATGTCTTGATAAATGTGCCGGTCAAAGTGATACAAATATTAAAAAACAGAGGGAGTATATAAAATGTCGGAGAATGTAGACTTACCAACTGGCCTTATTGTAATATAATTGATTTGAATTTAAGGGCAAATTCTTTTGTAGAGGAGGAAAGTAAAATGATATAATCAGGGACTCTTTATAAAAAATTGTCACTAAATTTAGTTCTTGACATCGTTAGCTCTAATTTATTTGGATTTAAGCAAGAGTTTCTATATTGTATTACTTGTCTTACTAATTGCCATATGTTACAACCTTCCCTTTTATCAAATTTATGTTCAGAACTTTTTATGAAAATGTTCAAGATGACAAATTAACAGAGTAAGTTTATTATGTCCAAATAAAAGTTGTGATTTATACAGTAATATTTGTAATCACTTTGCTCATTTTGTAGCATGTAATTAAATAAATGACTTAAACAGAGATTCATGTAAATCGGGAGAGTAGTACATGGAGGATATAAAAATGACATAAAATTCCAGTTAACAATTTTAGTATCTAATAAAATACCAAGTAAATTAAAACAGTTCTTGTATAAAAAAAAAAAAAGTAAATTGAAACAGTTTATTCCATATATATATAGATTGTCTATTGGGTGACATATACATTACAACCATAAACAACCGTACATTATTAGGATACCTTAACCCTTACCCTAGCCCCACCGAATACCCGCCAACTTCCACCATAAACCCCCGAAAACGGCTGGCCGGAATCAAAAACCACCCCACCGATCAAATCCACCACCGAAATCAACCCCTGACCCAAACCCACACTTGAAACCACCACAACCAAATACCCCGAAACTCCGCCGAAAACCGCCATAAACCCCCGAAACTCCATCGAAAAACCCCATACACCCCCTAAACTCCATCGAAAACCCCCTCGAACCGCTCTTGAAGGTTATTTTTTATTTTTACTTTTTTTTTATTGAAAATCGGGGTGGTTTTAGGGGGAGCTGGGTCGGTTTTTGCTAGGAGGGGGTGGAAATGGGTGTTCCGGCGGTAGAAATGGGAGTTCTGGCGGTATTGGGGATGGGGGTTCCAGCAGTGGAGATGGGGAGGAGCCGAGGAGGGGCTGCCGGAGGTTGGGGGTTCGGTGGTCGTTGGGGATAAAAAAAATTATTAGGGTTTTTTTTTTTTTACCAAATTTTTTTAAGTTTTTTTTTATTATTAATTTTTTGACGAATTATTTAGTGCCATGTGTCACTTAAATTAAAAAAAAAAAGTTTACCCAATGTACAGGTTACCGGTCATAAGGGACCAATAGATGAAAATCCCCTATAAAGATGGGATTATTAAATAAAAATCTAAAGGTGGGATTATTAACAGCGAAGCGACTAAAGATGGGATTATTAGACTCAATTTTTCCTATAAAAAATTGTCACTAAATTTAGTTCTTGACATCGTTAGCTCTAATTTATTTGGATTTAAGCAAGAGTTTTTATATTGTATTACTTATCTTACTAATTGCCATATGTTACAACCTTCCCTTTTATCAAGTTTATGTTCAGAACTTTTTATGAAAATGTTCAAGATGACAAATTAATAGAGTAAGTTTGTTATGTTCAAATAAAAGTTGTGATTTATACAGAAATATTTGTAATCACTTTGCTCATTTTGTAGCATGTAATTAAATAAATGACTTAAACAGAGATTCATGTAAATTGGGAGAGTAGTACATGGAGGATATAAAAATGACATAAAATTCCAGTTAACAATTTTAGTATCTAATAAAATACCAAGTAAATTAAAACAGTTCTTGTATAAAAACAAAAAAAGTAAATTGAAACAGTTTATTCCATATATATATAGATTGTCTATTGGGTGACATATACATTACAACCATAAACAACCGTACATTATTAGGATACTAGATGCATAGTAGCATCATTACTTTTATTACACAATTAAAATGCACTTAATTAAAAAGCAAGGAATGTAAAGGATTGTAGTTCTTGATTAATTGCAGCAGCAATGCAGCTTACTAATTAAGCTAACATGGTAGCTAATAGAGAGTTGATATTGCTTGGAGACCAGTAATCTTAGCAGTGATCCTGCCTCCAAGAATAGGGTCAACATACTCGCAACTGCTTCCAGACGCATTCAACTTAACTTCAACTACGTTCCAGTCAACTGGGCCTGTAGGCCCGGCTTCACAATAAGCCTGAAATACATTTAATTGGAAAAAAAATAGGTTAGTACATCATTGACAACGTAAGTAACATCGTTATGAATTTATGATATATACTTATTATTAGATGTTCAAGTAGTAG